TACTCCTTGGAGGCAAGGATTCTGGGGCTTCGTCTGACATACTTTGGACATGTTGTAAGGAGGGACGGGTCCTTGGAGAGGGACATCATGCTTGGAAAGGTGGAGGGACAGCACAGAAGGGGAAGAACCTCTGTGAGGTGGATTGATTCAGTGACTGGGGTAATCGGCATGGGTGTGTCAGAGGCAGTGCGAATGGCACAAGATTGAGCAGGGTTTAGGGCTGTTGTACATAGGGTCGCTATGAGTCGCAAGCAACTCGACGGCACATAACAACAAAAACAACATTATTGCAAATAATTTGACATGTCAATAACCAAAGATATATTTTTCCACAATGAGGCAATACTGACTTTAACATTTATATCTGCTTTCTAAGAGCAAAGGCATTTATAGATACCAAGGTGTCAGGAGGAAGCAGCCCTTGGAGAAGGATATCATGCTCGGAAGTGTGGAGAGGAAGATCATGAATAAGATGAATTGACACAATGATTGGGGTAATAGGAATAAACATATCTATGTTGGAGACAGTGATATTGGTCTAGGATAGGACAAGGTTCTGAGCTATTGTGCATAGGATTGCTATGAGTTGCAGGTGACTTAATAGTACATAACAACAACAGAGGAGTCCAGAAAGCACTGAATGGAGTGGATGGTGATATTATCAGTTGTAAGGCTTAAAATTAAAAATGGTCTCATTTTAACCAATTACACTTATCAACCTTTAAAAAATAAAGTGTTCTATAACTTAGAGACTCTAAAATTGCACTAGGTTTTTAAGAAGCTAAAACAAAGGGAAAAAATTCTAAAGTAAATTGGCTAAGTAGAAGATTTCAAATAGAACCTAGAGAAGACAAAGCAACGTATTATCATCAAGTGTGCAGAGCTGCAACTAGAAAATAAAAGAGGAAGAACTCACTCAGCATTTCTCAAGTTGAAAGAACTGAAAAATTCAAGCCTCAAGTAATAATACTAAGAAATGCTATAGGAAACATACTGAATGATGAAGGGAGCATTGGAATAAATTAGAAGAAATATACAGACTCACTGTGCCAAAAAAGAATTGACTGACACTAAAATAGTTCAAGAAGTAGTATATAATTAAAATGAGGTAATAATGAAGGAAGAAGTTCAAGTTATGCTGAAGGTACTGGCAAAAAAATAAGACCCCAGGAATCATTAGAATACCAACTGACATGTTTCAAATAACAGATTCAGACTTTATGTGCTCATCAGTCTGTGCCAGGGAATTTAGGAGGCAAAGACCTGGCCAATTGACTTGAAGAGATCACTACTTGATTACACTACCAAGAAATATGATCCAACAGAATGGGGAGATTATTGAACAATATAATTAATATTGGTACAAGCTAAATATTGCTTAAAAACTATCTAAAACAACTAGAATAGTACATTGACAGAGAACTCCTAGAAGTTCAGGCTAGGTTTAGCTGAGGACGTGGCACCAGGGATATCATTGCTGATGTCAGATAGATCCTGGCTGAAAGCAGAGAATGCCAGAATATCTAGTTATACTTTATTGACTATGCAAATAATTTTATTGTATAGAGCACACACATAACAAACTAAGGTTCACATTAAAAGAATAGTAATCCCAGAACACTTAATTTTGCTCATGCAAAACCTACACTTAGATCAAGAGCTTTTGTGCTAGGAACACCACATGATTTGAAATCAGGAAAATATGTTTCAGGGTTGTATTCTCTTATATTTATTCAGTCTATATGCTGAGAAAATTATTTGAGAAGCTAGACTCTCTATAAAGAAGAATGTGGCATCAGGATCAGAGGAAGACTTATCAACAACCTGCCTTATGCAGCTGTCATAATCTTATTTGTTAAAAGCGAGGAGAACTTGAAGTTTGCAGCAGAAGATTAAAGACTACAATCTTCAATGTAGATTACATTTCAACATGAAGGTAGACAATATCATGATAGATGGAGAAAAGATTGAAACTGTCATTACTTCATCTTACTTGGATCCACAAACAACACACTTGGTACCAGATATCAGGAGATGTATTGCATTGGGAAAGTCTGCTGTCTTGGACCTCTCCTAATTGCTGAGGAGCAATGATGTCAATTTGAGAACTGAAGTGTTTCTGATTCAGTCCATGGTCTTCTCAATCACTTCTAATGTTCCTGAGATCTGGAAAAGGAATAAAGATTACAGGATACATATCAATGCCTTTGAACTGTGATGCTGGAGAACAGTACAAAATATCCTATGGGCTGCCAAAAGAACAAACAGATATGTCTTGGAGAAAGGCAGATAGAGTTTTCCTTGGGGTGAAGATGACAAAATTTTGTCTTACATATTGCTGAAACTGAGGAGGACCAGAAGCACCTGCTGCAGAGGGTCAAGGACTGCAGCCTCCAATATGGATCTAGGCTCAATGTCAAGAAGACAAAGATTCTCACCACTGGACTAATTGGCGGCATCAGGATGGATGGTGAAGAGATTGAGATTGTACACAGCTTTAGTTTGCTTGGCTCCACAGTCA